ATATATATTAAATAGTTCACCATTTTATCACTCTGCTACCTCTATCCGAAAGCATTTTCTTCTTCTCAAAATGGTCTCTCTGCCTCATTTTTACTATTTAGGTCTGGTTTCTGGAAACCACAACACTACTTTCATCTCCAGCGGTCAAGTGATGAACGTTACAGGCGACGTCATCGTCGTCTACGTCAGCCAGATGTCCAGCAGCAGTGACGACGGGRACCAGGACGATGCTTTCAGAAGTCCTGTCCAGGAGGAGGCCGGTGAGACGGCTCAGTTCTTCCAGAGCAGACAAAGACCACAGGGGGACTGCGCTACTCAGAGCACCTTAGAGACATTACCCGTCCAAGAAGTGAGAAAAGAGAGGATACTGGTAAAGTGAAACAAAGATAAATAAATAAATAATAAAGGCTGTTTTAATGTCAGGACCAAGATCAATCTCAAAAGCAATRGCTAGACCACATCAAGCTCCAGTATGAAACCAAAATTATTATAATTATTATTATTATTATTATTTGCATCAGTGATTTTCGCCTTGCCTTTATTTTTACTGGAAAGCTGCAAGACGTTCTCAGAAACAAACTCCTCTCTGCTCAGAGTGGTGAGTGATTTGGTTCAGAATTGGATGTGAAACTGGAGTTCATGCTGGAAAAACAGAACTCTTTCTTGCACCTTCAACTGGATTATGGAACTAAACACCGATACATATCAAACTTCACATTTAGATGATTTTAATACTTTTTATACCATAAATTTCCACTATGGAAATACTTTTTAATGTTTTTTTATGGCTGGAAGTTGCTTTGTTTAACTATGCACAATCTGACTGAAACTTTTAAATAAAATAAAAATATGAAGCATTTCACTGAGTGAAGCGAACGAGAGCTGCTTCACACTATCATTCTCAGTAAGAAGCTGTTTTTAGCCTGTACATAGACTTTATTAGGTTTATATTGCACTACATGTGCAGTTCATGTTGAAGAAAAGAATGCTATGCATTTGATAAGCTATTTTATTCCAGATTTGACTGATTTCATTCTGCTTTAATGTATAAACTTTGAAGAAAAGTGACATTTTATAATTGTTTTAAATAATTTGTGAGGTAAATCCTTGATGTTTTTTTTTTCAGAACATAYATTTGTGATTGTTGATTTATATATTTTTAAAAAGTGTTATGATTTGTGAAAGAAATCATATATTCTTGTGTTGTATCAAACTTTGCCACCAACAACAGGTGAGATTCAAACAATCTAACTCTGTGGGAGTTGAGTTCAAGTGACTCCTACAAAAACCTTGACTATAACTGTTTCCTGAGGCTTTTATATTCTTAATGCCCCTATCTGTTAGTGGGTAATCTGATATATGAAATATGATATTTTTTTATTTAAGAGCGGCTAAATCATCAATTAAAATCTTAAATTATGTAAGACTGAAGCCAATTTTTTTGAGTCAAAGTTTTCTATTAGATATACAGTACAGCTTTACCATTAATTGCACACCCTCAGTGTAACATGACACCAACATAAGTGATTAAAACTAAACATATTTTTAAAAATGCATATTTAAGCACACTAAAGCAAGGCAGTCTCTGTTTTTAATTAGAAAAATGTCCTTTAGTTTACACAGAGGGGCAGAACTTAAGATTTTACTGCCAAACATTAGAGCATCATCTTCTTTTCTGCCTTCAACTTCTKCCTTCTTGTCCTGTCTTTAGTAATAATATTTGTCAGTGGTCTAAAACAGCCCAGTCCTGATCCTCGAGGCCCAATATCCTCCATGTTTCAGAGATTTTCCTGCTCKCTAATGTCTTTTAGTTCTGCAGAAACTGCACCAAAATAGATATTTCAGGTTTTTGAAAGAACCGCCTTTAGATTTTTTTTGACGTTTAAGTCCATCCAGTTCAAACGGCTCATTAAATAAATCCACACTGAACCCAGAMAGTGTTTCTAAACAAACATTTAAAAGACATCGTGCTGTTTTTCCTGTTTTATTGCTGTTCTTATATGTGATTTGCTAATGATTGGCAAGCGCAATTACGGCAGCTATTTGGGATCTTACATACGAATGAGACTGAGATGATCAGATTTAGATTATTTTTTTCCATTTCATGTGCCAAATTTTATTAAAACAGACATTTGAGTGTTTGTGTGATTGTCACATTCAGCTGATGTTTGTGTTTCTAAGWGCTCGTTTGTGTTATTTATCTTCTCTGTGGCTTCTGAGACCCTTTCAGACTAAATGCACCTCCGTGTGCTCTTAAACCCATCCGTGGTTCTTCTCCAACAAATCGTAGGTGCAACACAGTCAGCTCTGTGAGCTGTGATAAGTTGATCCAGATGCAGAAAAGCAAGCTGGAGGAAGAACCRTGTGTGAACTGCGTGACACAAGATTCTGGTTGCATCGAGACCTCAGAGCCTAGAGTTCAGACGACTTCCTTTTCCCTTGCTGCTCTGAACTTCTTCTCTCTCTTGTAAGCAGTACTTACCTGCGGGAAGTTAAGTGTATTTTGCTCAGTAATCCAAATAGTGTGCTGTGGAGCTCAACATTTGRCATTTGATCTGAAAACTCTCTGAAAATAAAGCTATTTTATGTTCAAACCAATCAAGAAGGCCGCACCATACATCTCACCACTATCTGCCTGTTTCATTACATTGATCTGTCATAACCTTGTACGCAGCTTTTTCAAATCATGTACATATCAATCAAATTTCATGCAATGATTGAATAAAAGACTATTTTGATTGAAATGAAATGTTTCTTATGTCTATTGTTTCTGTGCAAAAGCCGACATTCGGCGTTCTGTGATTTCTCTGTTGACTTTCCTATTCGGGGACAAACACATCACAACGAATGAGCTGTTGATTCCCTCACGATGATCCATAACACCCCGTGAAGCAATCTTAATTACATGTGCGGCGAGATTTCTCTGTCTTTGTCCCCGGCGCTGACAAACAGGCGGCCTTTCATCACGCCAGGGGATGGAGAGCAGCTGCGAGGAGAAACCGTGGAAGCGCTCAGACCAGCCAGCGTCACAGAGAGACCACATGAGAGGAGCTGGCAGCGCTCATTTAGGCCTGGTTTGGGTCAGCAGCAGTATGTTTACATGTGTGTGTGTGTGTGTGTTTGTGTGTCAAGTGCGCATCTCGTCTCAGCATATTTTTATGGTCGCTGGTGAAAACAGGAAGTTATGACTGGCTTTCACATGGTTTACATGAGGAATAGCTRGCTGGGCCAACACAGAACTGAACTGTAGAGTCAAAAGGATTTTAATTTAGTTTTTTTCTTTGACTTTTAATGTGTGAGAAAATTATCTGAGTGTGGATTTGCAGAGGTGAGGTGTTGGAAGGTGCTGCACTCTGCCCTCTAGTGGTAAAGATGACTTGCATCTTCCACATCCAGTTTCAGAGAAAGTTCCTGTGCTCTAAATAGTTGGCATCATTTATATAGATGTGTGTGAGTGTKCATGTCTTTGTACTGGTATGTGAACATATTTTGACATTATACTATTCTTATGAGGACGTCTTGTCATGTGGATATTTGCCTACACATTTGTAGGTCCAGGGTTAGGTTTAGGCTAAGGAATCAGATTTAAGCTGCAGAAATTAATGGAAGTTGATGCAAAATCTGCACAATTCTAGAGATGTGTGTGTGTGTGTGTGTGTGTGTGTGTGTGTGTGTGTGTGTGTGTGTGTGTGTGTGTGTGTGTGTGTGTGT